CGTGGGTGAATGCCCACTTCATCAGACGCAAGTGGGCATCTTGCGTCTGATGAAGTGGGCATTCACCCATGAAAGCTTATGCTCCAATACTTCTGTTAGTCTTAAAGGTGCCACAGGACCCTCTGTTGCTTTTTGCAATACTGTACTACATCTGCCACTGTGGGAAGCTGTGGGAGGGAAGACGTAAATCAGCAGCACTCCCAAGGGGATCCCCACATGTGAGAGCACTGCTGCCTTCTTCTAAGGTCCAAGGCCAGTCTGCTAGGACAGTAGTTTCCCAAGGAAAGTAAGTAAATGCTTGAGTTTTCCTGCAAGACAGTGGGTAGGAGAATGGAAGGAATCAGCTCTGTAGTGTGCATCCTGCCTTTAGGCATCCATATTAGACTTTACTATAATTAGGATAAATGACTGAGTTAACTCTTCATTATCTGTTCCCTGTGGGCTACTTCTTGCTCAGGGCTGGATTGTTGCATCATAGGATTGCTCATGTGAGTAAAGCATAGGCGCCAACTTCTCCTGGTGCTGATGGGTGCTCACACCCCCTCACCTCCTGCTCCAGCCCTGCTGCACCCCCATTCCAACCCCTTCCCCAAAGTCCCCACCCCAACTCCGCCCCCTTCCTGCCCCTATTGGACTCCTTCCTAAAATCCCCGCCCCAGCCCCACCTCTTCGCCTCCTCCCCTGAGCGCACCGCGTTCCTGCTCCTCCCCCCTCCCTCCCACAGCTTGTTATGCCGCGAAACAGCTGTTTTACGGCAGCGAGCGCTGGGAGGAGAAGTGGGGACGGCGCGCTCAGGGGAGGAGGCAGAGGTGAGCTGAGGCAGAGGTGAGCTGGGGCGGGGAGCTGCCGGTGGGTGCAGAGAATCCACCAATTTTTCCCCGTGGGTGCTCCAGCCCCGGAGCACCCACGGAGTCGGCGCCTATGGAGTAAGGGTTAGCAGGATCACACTCACAGTCATGCTTATCCAATCCTCAGGAGTACAATGGGAATAGTAAAGTAGGGAAAAACAAAAACTATTTTTAAAGCCTTTAAGATTCTCACTGGAGGCATTTTATAGACTGCTGAGGTAGAGGAGTGTTAAGGATCACATCATTTGCAGACTTCAACATTCACTTTGTTTAGGCTGTTCAGCTGCTGTGTGGAATTCATCCAAACCGCACGTTGCTGACTTCTCTTTGGTTTTGAAGGCTTTTTCTTTGCAATCCATGAAATGCTTTTCAGAAATAGAAAAGCCATTCATGAATTAATCAGGAGCTAATGAAAAGTCAGGGTAATGATCTCATATCTATAGAAATGAGCTCAGTCCCATGTCAGCTGCTGGTAATAACCAACACACAGCTGTTTCCTTACCAGCACTCCCTTATTTGAAATGTGGAAGTTTTGCATATTATTTTTAGCAGTGAGATGCTAAGTCTGGTACTGGCAGAGGGAGGGACCAGAAGGTCTAATAAATCTTTTCCAACTATGACCCCTGTAGGTTTGACCCTGCCCGGCCAAGACTAGAATTGACGTCGGTCCTGCAGCTCCCATCATTCCCACCCTCATTGTGCCTTGTCTCTCCCATATAATGTCTTACTTAGCACCTGCATTCTCTAGTAAGAATTCTGTTACACCCCCTCAGGACCAAATCAGCAAAGCCTGTTGTCTCTCTCTCAGCTACTGTAAGTGACATGAGGGACACCCAGCCCCAGGAACTGTGTAGTATTGCTGGCCATGGCTTGTCCAGAAACCGAGGGCCAGGTTAACATAGGATCTGCACACATGCAGACCCATGAGAAGGCCCCCTGCAGCAGAAAGTCGGCTTTGTGGGGAGGGGGGCAGGTTGTGGAAAGCATGATGTACTCACAGTCTCCTCTCTGCTGAGGGCCATGCAGCCAGACCGCTAAGTCCCCAGAGTGATTGATGCTGGCCAGGGAAAGAACGTGCCCAAAGAAGTTTATGCAGCACATCTCCACTGCAGTTTCCACCTGCAGGTCTTGTATAATGTCTGGGTGGAGATTAAATCAGCCCTTCCCTGGAAGAACTCACTTCCGCTGAGTGCCCTTCTCCAGGTTGAATCCCCACTCTGGATTCCCTTCACCAACAGGAGTTAATTTAGCCTGAACCCAAGAGTCACAGAATCACAGCAAGCAAACCTGGAGAAAGACAGGTCATCCATTCCATCCTCCCTGCCAGTGAAGGATTGCTCCTTCGGGATGTTTTCTATGTTTTGGGGTGCTAGTAGTTCAGTCTTGTTTAAAATGGAGTTTGTCTTACTTTCTTTAAGACTATTCCCCGTATGGTAGCCTTATACCATCCTCAGTCTAATGGGTTTTCCAACTTTGCTGATGTTCTGAACATTGTAAAAATAAGATTAACACAAGTACTGCAACAGAAACCAAATATTGGCTTTAGTTTTCCTTCATTTGGGCCAGCTATTTGAAATGGCTTCTGAATTTGTGTGCTGATGTTTTTATGCACTTACTTTTTGCCTTTTAATTCTCAGGTGGGCAAAATTCCATTGTGGATGCACAAATGTATTTGCAGATACAAAGCGGGTAGATTGGTGAGTTAGGTGCTGGGTTCTGAGTCCTTTCAATTCCTTTTGAAGTGAATGGAAATGAAGGGTGCTCAGCACCTCATGGGCCTCAGCTACTCACTCTGTGCATGCAAACACTTTGTGCACCCTTGTTCAAGTTTTGCACTATCTAAAAAGTAAGCACCAAAATACAAGTGTGCAAATTTGAAGAATGGTTGAAACGCCTTCAAGTATTTTGTCCTTAACATGCAATTTTACTCTAAAAAAAATTACTTCAAATTTGTTAGATCTACTGCTTGTGTATATTCATGATCATAGATGCTTACTTCAGTGGGAAAATATATATTTTTATTACTTTTCATTCTCTAAGTACTGTAGAGCCAGCACAGCTATGAGTGAATGAGCTGGATTAGTTTCTGTCTCTCACATAATCAACAGGTTTATTAAT